TTCCAGCGGCTCCCGCATCCCCCTCCCCGCCCCCGCGGTCACACCTCGCCCGGCGCTGCCGTCACTCAGCCGCGCGCGTCTGGAAGTTGTTCTTGGATGGGCCCTGGGCATTCCTAGACGCACATTCCTGGCAGCCGGAGAGCCCCGTAGGAAAGATTCTTCCCTTGAAAATATCCGGTCCACGTGGAGGGGAAAAGGGGACGGGGCGAGCGCGGCTCTCCCGCCCCCCATCCCGGCGTTCCCGGGGCGCTGGGGATCCCTGGGATCCCGGCACGGGGACACCTCCGGAGCCCCCCCCCCCCCCCCGAGGTGACCCCAGTCCTGATCCAGCAGCCCCGGGGGGGTCTCTGCGCCCCCGACAGTGCTTCCCATAGGAATGGGATCCCAGAGGGTCCGGCACAAAGCCCGGGAACTCCGGAGTCGGGAATGTCATCCCAAGCACCCCATGCTCTGCAGGGCTGTCAGCAGGGAGAGGCAGGATCCAAAGGGATCAGGAGAGCCTTGGAGCAGGGAATGGGAGTGAGTCCTCCCCACTCCACAGGCCAGTCCAGGTCCTAAAGCAGGGGACGGATCACAGCGAGGAATTCCAGGATTGGCCTCCCCGGGAGAAGGCTCCTACCCCAGGCTCTGCTGCCCTGCCAGGGCTGGGAAGCGATGCCCAAAGTGGGACATCCTGGAAGCTCTCTGGGAAGCGGGGGAAGCTGCAGAGTCAGGGGCTGGGAGGCTGCTCCAACCCCAAATCCCTATTTCAGAATTCCCGAGCCGGTGCCGGGTCTGGAGCTCCGGCCCGACCCAGGGCTGAGGGTCACCGGCCCAGGGACCCGCTCCCCATCCCGGTGCGAGCCGGAGGAGCTCCGGAGGATCCAGACGGATCCTGTGCCTCTGCCCAGGAAGGACAGCAGGGAGAGCTCCCGGGAATGGCAGCGGGGATGGAAGGTGCTGGAGAAAAGCGGGATCATTAGCGGAGCTAAACGAAAGCAGATGCTCCGGGAGCCGGGGCTTCCAAAGCACACACAGAGAGCGCCCGGCCCGGCAAGGGGATGACAGTGGGCCGGATTTCGGAAGCTGCTGAGACATGGATTAACTGTGGGAGCACACGGGGAAGGTGCAGAATTCCGGCCGGGAGCGACAACCCCCTGCGCGGAGCTCCCGGGAGCAGAGACTTCCCAGCAAACGGCAATTCCCGTCTCCATCCAGGTTAAAGTGCTGCTTTAACCAACACCAGGCAAAGGCACGGAGAGGAGGGCAAACATTCCCGCTGTTCCCAGGTTTGGGGTTGGGATAAGGAAGCCCCTAGAGCTCCAGAGCGTGGAGGTATCCACAGGTTCCCTGGAGCCAGTGTGGGATCTCGGCCCCACACCTCGGTGGCCTGGGATGCTGTGGGGATTCCAGGTCCCAGAGGAAGAGGAGGAGGCTGATGGTTGTCACCAGGGCCAAATGAAGGGTGAGGAAGATGCTCCGAGGGCTGGAGCCCCTCTGCTCTGGATCCAGGCTGGGAGAGCTGGGAATGTTCACCTGGAGAAGGGAAGGATCCAGGGAGAGCTTGGAGCCCCTTCCAGGGCCTGAAGGGGCTCCAGGAGAGCTGGAGAGGGACTGGGGCCAAGGGCTGGAGGGACAGGACACAGGGAATGGCTTCCCAGGGTTAGATGGGATATTGGGAAGGAATTCCTGGCTGTGAGAGTGGTGAGGGATGGGGATGGAATTCCCAGAGAAGTTGTGGCTGCCCCATCCCTGGGAGTGTCCCAGGCCAGGTTGGAGGGGGCTCGGAGCAACCTGGGCAAGTGGAAGGTGCCCGTGGCAACCCTGGCATGGCCAGCAAGACACAGGGACGGGGGACAGGACACAGGGACAGGACTGGGCTCAGCACACAAGACCCAAATTCCCTCCCTGATACCTGGGCAGGGAACTCAAGCAAATCCAGGCGAGCCCTGGAGCTCGGGCAGCCCCTCAAGGGTTAATTCCTCCCTCTCTGCCCCATTAGCAGCCGCAGGAGCAGCAGCAGGAGCAGCAGCAGGATGGATTCGGTCATGCTGGGAAGGGGAGGGGGCTCTGGGGGCTCCCTGGCTGGGATTCATCCTGAGCAGGAGCCCCTGGCCCAGGGCACGAGGTGTCCAGGAATCCCATGGGAACAGGGTCAGGGGAGGGACGCGGCCACCAGTCCCCCCCCCCCAGCATGGAGGGTCCTCTGGGAGCGCCCAGGGACACCCAGGGATTCACCCACTGTCATTCCCCTGGGACAACGGGTCGGTTTTGGGATGCAGGTTTTGGGATGCAGGTTTTGGGATGCAGGTACCAGCTCGGGGCCGGGAGCACCGTGGAAAAGGACCACGGTGGTGGGGACACCGGGAATGCCGCGGGACCAACCTCCTCCCTCAGCTCCAGGGGGGTTCATCCTGCTCCCCGAGGGGGTGCAGGGACCCCCGGGAGCTCCCCCCCGGCAGTGCTGTGCCCACCCGGGCCGCGCCGGGACGGTGCCAAGCGTGCCGGGCTGACCCAGGTGAGCCCCGGCACCCCGTGAGCCGAGCACAGACCGGGATCAGGAGACACAGATTTAGGGGGGAAAACAGCTTCGGGGCGAGACGAGACAAAACGGGAAAAGCGGAAAGCCCCGAAAGCCCCGGCGCAGACGGCAGAGTTTTTGGCAGGAGCTCGGCGGGACCCCCCCCGGCCGAGCCCGGAAGAGTTAAATCCCCGCCGGAGGGTGAGCTCAGGTAGGCTGAGCCTGGGGCTCCCCTCGAGCCGGAGGAGGGGCCTTGGCTGACCGGTGCCGCCTCACAAAAACCCGGCTCTCCCCCGCCGCTATAAAAGCCGGCTCTGCCAGGCTGGGCGAGCACCGTGCCCGTGCGCGCGGGGAGCGGGAGGGGCGGCCCGGAACCCCCCCCTCCCCGAGCCCGGCGGGGACCCCCCGACCCCCCCATCCGAGCAGCGGCACCCCCCGAACGACCGGAGAGGAGAGAGACCCCCCCCAACCATGTCCTTCGCCATGCTGCGCTCGGCGCCCAGCCGCTACCTGTACCCCGAGATCAGCATGCTGTCGGAGGACGAGGAGAACGGCAGCGAGAGCTCGGGCTCGGACGAGAAGCCCTTCCACCTGGACGCCGAGGGCTACGCGGCGCTGAAGGCGGCGGGCAAGCGGCGCGGGGCCAAGAAGGCGGCGGCGGCGGCGGCGGCGAGGCTGTCGCGGGAGCCCCGGCAGCGGCACACGGCGAACGCGCGGGAGCGAGACCGCACCAACAGCGTCAACACCGCCTTCACCGCCCTGCGGACCCTCATCCCCACCGAGCCGGCCGACAGGAAGCTCTCCAAGATCGAGACCCTGCGCCTGGCCTCCAGCTACATCTCCCACCTGGGCAACGTGCTGCTGGTGGGCGAGGCGTGCGGCGACGGGCAGCCGTGCCACACCACGCCCGCCTTCTTCCCGCACGCCGGAGGAGGAGGAGGAGGAGGAGGAGGCGGCGGGAGCCCCCCGGCGCGGGACCCCGACAGCTCTCAGCCCAAACAGATCTGCACTTTCTGCCTCAGCAACCAGAGGAAGCTGGTGAGTGGGGGTGGTCGGGGGAGAGGGGGGGGTTTGGGATGCCCAGGAATTGGGGGGGTTCTGGCAGTGCCGGAGCGCCGAGACGGGTCCGGTTTAAATGGCATCGCGCCGGGGTGAGCCGAGGGGGAGCGGGG